TATATTAGCGGCATACATTACCTGGCTGTGATTAGCAGTGATCAGTTGATAGCGTAAACAAACAGGTATTAGTGATTGAATCTGGCACTCCTGGCTGCACACACTCACTCACACACATGCACACAATCAATAGAGCTCACTGTGCAGTGTATGAATTGAGTCTGCAGCCAACAATCGATCGACCTGCCAAATGATAAAAAACGTGCCGTCACAAAGTCAAAGTGATTTTCTCATTAAATAACATAAACCATTATTTCACTTCACAATACATTGGATCAGAATCTTTATCAATACTGATTTACTGATTAAACTTTTGCAGCTCTAGCGTGGAAAATAGATTAGTCAGAAGAAAATGAAGTTGTTGATGTGTGTCCAGAGGTGGAGGTGCCACACTAGAGTAGAAGAAATTGGATTTATTTTACTGTGTGAGAGCTTTACAGCAGATCTCAACTGTTCAAAACTTTTCTTATGCAAGTCTTACATTGCCACTTCAAGGATCAGCCTACTACACAAGAATGTTCAGCATGTACTGACCAGGCCAATGGACAAATGGCTTAGATACCAAACTTTGAGGCTGTTGCTGTAATGATCTTGGAAAATGATAACAAATAGCAGAATTTATACATCTGGCATTAACCATGAAACTATTGTTTTTTATCTGAGCAAATCAGTCAAGTCGTTTAATGTGTCCCTAGCTCAAGTTAATGTACCACAAGATCTCTTATCTACTCAGTTCAGTGTGTGTGTGTGTGTGTGTGTGTGTGTGTGTGTGTGTGTGTGTGTGTGGACCCTTCAGTGGGAACTGTAGTCACATGCTCCTGAGCGGCTCTTTTGTGTATTGTTTCTTGTTGTTCTTGTGACCAGCAGGGAAAAGGAGGCATTCTGTCGTGTTTCTTGCTGCTGTTGCCTCCTGTACGCTTGCCTTTTGTGTTTCTTTTTTTTCTTTTCCCTTTTTACTTAAAGAATCGTAAGAAGCTTCGACCAGAGTTTTAAATACCACTGAAACTGGGCGATGGGACCACTTCCTGAATTTGCCCACGTCACATTCACTAGATGTTTTTATTTTGTGTTACATCTTTGCGTCAACCCTTTAAATGGCTCCCTTACCTTCTCTTCCTGTTTTCTGTCCTTATATCACAGGTGGATAATGCTAAAATTCTCCACTATGTTGGAGCAGGCATTGCCTTTCCCACCAGTATGCTGTTTGTGTGCCTGCAGTCAGCGCTGACGTACCGACTGGCCAAAACCCAAGGGGAGTACAACTTGGCCCACCTCCGGCTCTGCATGACCCTGCTGGCCTTCGTAGCCTTGGTGCTCAGTATCCTTTCCAGTCTCTACAGATGGCTGCCCTGAAGCTTAAGGGACTAAGCATCCCCTTTGACCTCTTTTCATCAGATATTTTTATTTATTATTTCATGCAGTTAGTCCCTGGCACCTCTTCATCAATGACATAAAGCAGCAAGAGTTTTTAACTCTATAATTGCGTGATACAGTGACCTTTTTACCAGATATTAATGTAGTGCATTAACGCCAGTGTCGTGTCTGCTTCAGACAGTTTTGGAAGCACGCAGCAGGAAATCTTGGCGCACTCCAGCATATTTCATAGTAGGAGGTGGAAGATTAAAGACCGACTTAAGTCCGATCCAATATCTCTGTCAGCTGATATCCATCTAGAGAAGTTACAGTGCATGTGGGAAAAACATATTAGCCTGACCTACAGTACAGATATACAGTAGCTGTAGCCTGGGCCTGTCTCTTCATGGGTAACATAATCAACATGTGAGCACTTGTAAAGCTCGCTAATTAACTCATTGTATCTTGTTTACTTAACCTGGACAAAAACTGAGTGTTTAATCTGCATCGTGCAGGTGAGTGGGGCCGTGTCCACGACTGCTTCCTGTTGGGGCGTTTCAGCTTTAGGTCCTCGCATTGCTTTGCTGCTGTTTTCCTTAACCGTGTGTTTCAGGTGGTGTTTTTTTCTGTCAGGAGAGCTTCGTCCTGCAACACGCCTCGGCCATCTTCGAATGGGTGTTCTGCATCATCATCATGCTTTTTTATGGGACTTTTGCCTTCGAGTTTTCCGGCATGTCAGGAGATACAATGGTGGTGCTGGCGAGAGGAGGCTCCCTGGGACCTGCTGGGAGAGAACACAAGATGGATGCGCTGGGAGGGGCCGGTTTGCACTCACAACCACATCCACACCAACCTGAAAGCATGTCCATGCTGTAGCCTCCTGGCACACGTTGATGCCACACAGTTGCCTCATTTTATTCCTTTCCAACTCTAGTCTGAATTATTCATTTCCAGCCGTGTTCGTCTGAAGGTTTGAAATGAACCAGGCCAGCGCAGCAGCCGTTCAGAGCGGGCGTAGCTCTGCTGCAGTTTATACTTACGTCAAACTTTGTGTCTCCGAAGAACTTGTTTGCATTTTGCACATTGCACAGGCGTGCAAAACCAAATTTTCTCCCTGCTCATGGCTGTGCTCCGTGACCATCAGAGGAGCGTTTTGGGAATCAGATCATGGAGTTCTTGTGAATCCGATGGCCTCGGATTCAGATGACTGCCGCGATGCGTTCAGAGTGTGTAAGAAGTGAAGGCTGCTGGACAGCCCAGCTGACAGTATTACAGTGGGAAGGTGTCACAGTGTTTCAATCCTGGAAACAGAACAGGGCGGCAGTTTGCATTTTTCATCACGTAAACCTCTGTTAAGCAATATTTTTGATGTTAAGTCACGTCTTTGTAATTAACACCCTACACTGTATAGATCTTCTTTTGTTTTTTACTGTTTTGGTTATTCATTCTGCATACTCATCTGCACATTACCTCCCTTCCAAAGCCACGTGTAAAGCTAAAATATTTCTGTGGAGCTGGTTGACCAAAGCTAATCAGAAATAATATTATCTGGTGGACATCAGAGTAGTTCTGAGCTCTGCTGTGCATCTCATGAGCTTGCATTTAGATACGAGTGTCATTTTGTTTAAAATGCTTATTGCAGCATTAAAGTTTGTGCCATATATGCAAGCCTAATATTGCTGTTAAAGTATCAGACCGCATGGACTTATTGTTTCCGGACTATTCGGGTGACGTTTCATATGTCTTTATTTAAACTGTGTTAAAAAATTCAGTGAGCTCTGAGTCACATAAATCTTCTAATTAAGACTGAAAAAATACACCCTTCCCCATTCTTCTTGGGATCCATAGACTAGATCAATGCTCAGCTCTTAAATAATGCTGGATTGAACTCCTTCTCTGTAAAAGAATATGAGGGAGAGGTGACACAGTGTCGAGAGGCCAAATATGTACCAGCTAATTCAATCCAGAGCACTGGCTTTATTGAGTTTAGTGACAGGGCATTACACGTGTCTTCAGGTCCTGTAGGCAGAGGTCTGCATCTTATTATTCCCACATGCAGGAGGAGGAGAACATGTTCTTATTGCTTTAGCTGTTTCCTTTTTTTGTGAAGCTGGAAACTTCGCACAGGTGGAGATGTTTCAGCACGTCAAGCTGGTGTGGTGGGATAAAGGGAAAAGGATTTGTACAATGTAAGACATGGTGGAGATGGACTGTCCTGCTTCAGTGTTAACGTGTTATTTTTCAGTATGTGCCAAATACAAGTCTGCCTATGGCATTGGTGCTAATACACAAATAGGCCTTACCTTGTTGTTTTCCCTTACTTCAGTTGTGATTACGGCAAAGCAATAAGAAGAGACATGAGGTAAATCGGTGACTCTGAGAGTGAGAGCAGGGACAGAAGGTTAGCAACACCAGCACGTGGAGAAATGCTCCATGTTTGCTAACATCTGTGCATAATTTTCTCAAGCTTTGAGGAGGCAGAGGCTTTACAACAGTAGTAATTTAATTAATTGGCCATCAGCACATCTGGCCACATGTCGAGCTGAGATGTTGTTTGTGTAATTTGTTTGCAAATTCACAGTATGTTACTGAAAGTAGTTATTCACTATCAGGCTGAATGTATCAGACTAACTGAACTAGAGTGATGGGGAAGCCTGCGCACGCTGCTCTGAGGACGGAGCTGAAAGCGACACCAGCTGCAACACTGAGCACTTGCTTCTCTCTGCTGGTCACACTGCTTATTGCATGTGTTAAGCTCACATGAGGGGTTTTTTTTCTACTTGAAAAATTGTCAGTTTTTTCTGCCCACAGTCAGAATACTAAGACCAACTAATGTTTTTATCCTTTTATTTCATAAAGGTGGAGGCTCAACTCCAGCCTGAGCTTCTGCCTGCGACAGTATGAGGTTCCTCTGAGAAACCACATTAAACATTCAATACATTCAAAACATTCACTAAAATAATGGTGCTAATCATTTCACATTTACTTAAAGTACTTAATCCGACGTCATGGTTTGAATATTCCCTATTTCTAGCTGACCACTACAAAAAAAAGAAACATTACATTTCTTTTAAATCTTCACATTCGCCATCATTCTCTTCATTTCATACCTCATTCTTCCTCATTTATGGATCTATCTGATCTCTACACTCAGGAAAACATTACCACACCAGCTGTGTTCTTTGATTCAAGGCCTTTGGCTTTCTGCCGTCTTTGTTTAAATTGCATTTTTGTCAATGGGATTCCTTGTGTACATTTGTTTCTTTGTGTAGTATAGGTGCAGCTGTAAGACTGGTGATTAGCCATGATGTAATAGATTATTTTTGCTAATCAAGACTCTGTTAAATGTGCAAGAAAACCGAGCTCACTCGTGCAATCGAGATCATTGGTGAGAGCCTTCTGACTAACAAGAACCCAACACTCCTCACAGCACCCCACTCTCAGTTACACAGCTACCTGTGCCTTATGTGCTGTTTTGATCATGGAAACCAAAGAGGTCACAGTTGTAAATTCTATTTTGATGACGAGTCATATGATTGTATCCATTTATGCCTTAATATTCAACAAATAAAAAAAAACAAAAAACAGCAAACGTTGAATCCCAGTGGCTTCATTACACAACATGAGCACAAAGAACCAGACAGCGGTTCTCTAATCTTTTTTTTTTATTGTTTAATTATTTACATTATCCAGTTTCATTGACAGAAGGTGACACTCATAGATAAGACATTAAACAGAGGAAAACTCCTATAACAAAACAGTGTCAGCTGTAGGTGAACTTACAGGTTTGGTACACTCGCCACCAAAACGTCCTGAAGCTCTACAGACTGTTTGTTGTTTCTCTCTTAAGACTTTCTTAATCCCATCAGAAGTGCTTCTCAAGGATCTAATTACATACTCTGTCATTAATAAATGCCAAAAAGCTGGGCCAAAATGAAATATTCTTAAAGGTACTTTTTAAAGAAGTGTGATATATGCTAGCGTGTGCTTCTAAAGTTGTAAAACACAGCAAATTTAAGACATCGGTGGTCCGCTAAATGCTAACGGATTCAGACTAAGATTCAGACTTCTAATTATTTGCTAAGTTGAGCCACATTTACAGCAGAAAGCCCGCAGGTACTAAAGAAAAAAAAAAGAAAGGCTGAAATAGCCGCAAGGCTATTTTACATTTTGACTTATAATTTATGCCTCCAGAGATCCGAACTTGACCTGTTATCTCACACAGTGGGAATGGTAGTAGTGCAAACAGCTTCCTGTGGCACGTTTACAACAGTTTTTTATAGTCATGACAATACGGTTTCTTAAGCCACGTTTTTGGTTGAGCAGTAGCTACACCTCTTACAATAATATGGCAGCCACTGAGGGAATACACATTTTGTAATAGCACCTTTTAAGAATAAAGCACTGAACTTGTGTAAGTATACTGCCCCCCCCCCCCCCCCCCCCCCCCCAACAGCTTTGAGGTAAAACACTGCTGCTAGTGATGTGGAGGTATTTATATAAGCACCGATACCTGGAGGTTATTTGGCCTCGGAAAGGACAGTGAAAAAAGATTAGTTACTGAGATGCCATCTGCAATGTCCCTCTCCTCACTGGGAGGATGTCCCTTCATATGTCTGCTGGCTACAACTGCTCACACGTATAACTACCTTCTCACATCTTGAAAGCTGACTTATCCCTCCCTAACTGTGGTTTCAGTTGTTTTGTTTTGTTTTTCTGTTAAAAAAGTGTTCAATCAGTTGCATTGGAGCTGGAAGTTGTAGTCCATGAAGAGGAGTCTTGTTCAGCATCCAGGTGGAGATCAGGACAGGCTGGTGGAGTATTTACAAGACAAGCTTTTTGGGCACTTCCCAAGAAAACTCCGGTCGGCCAAAGTGGCCGTAAGAGGCTGTCTGCTGGTAAATCGGCCTCTTCAGGTTCAGATCCCTAAGAAGAACACACAAGGGATGAGACATCGCTGGTGAGAAAGGACTGTGAAGATTTTGATCAAAACCATTTGAAGCCATAAATTCTTATACAGAGCAGAAAAAAACCATAAAGGTGAAAAATGTTGTGCAATGAGCTGTAAGCACTGACTGTTTGCATGTCCTCTTGTGAGCTTGGAGTTTTTTGTTTGTATTTGGCGTACATGGGTGGCAAAGTTTGTCTGTGTGTCAGAATGGCTTGTACTGCACTTTGGACCAACCTCCAACATTTATCGATTACAGAACTCTTAAACACTTGAACCAAAATGAAGTCATTGGTTATGCGGCTCTTAACAATTAAAGATTTTGGTAAATCAATTAAAAGTAGTTGTTATTGTTGAGTACTTTAAATTGGGTACTTTAAGTGCTTTAAGTTACTTAAAGTTACTGTGCTTTAAGTTACTTTCTGTTATATATATATATACTGTTACAATGATGAATGTTCATATTAGTAAAACATCTCAAAACACAACTTTCTTCTTGTTTTGCTCTGTACTATATCAGTTAGAGTGGATGCTGTGTTCCTGTTGGAGGGGCAGCCAATCAAAAGAAAGAGGATGAACTAAAGGGCTGCACCAAAGCTTATTATCAAATAAATCATTATTTTTATATGTGAATCATGCAAGAGTGAAGATGTATAAAATAAACAAACAGCATAATAGATCCACTTTAAAATGAAATGCTCACCTATAACGCTGCATCTCAACAAGAACATTATAATAGAAAAGGGAAATCTAGGGCTAGGTTTAAATAGAGGGAAATTATCCTAAAAGGATCAGCTAAAAGTGGAAGAATCTAAATGTAAAAGGACAGCAAAAAGGATATCATATCTTTGAAGCCACCCGGCGGGTTATGTGTCCACCACGATTCCCTCTCCAATGGATAGTATTGAAAAAAAAGAAAAGAAAAGAGGAAGAATTTTCTGTATCTAACTATACTTCAACAATTTCAACTTTGATTTTTGGTGTGATTCTCTCTTAGTTTGCTTCTCTTTCCCCTCTTCCCCTGCCCCTCCCTGAGCCTGGTTCTGCTGGAGGTTTCTTCCTGTTGAAAGGGAGTTCTTCCTTCACCCTGTCGCCAAATGCTTGGTCATTGTTAGGGGTCTTTCTAATATTGTATGGTCTTTAACTTACAGAATAAAGGACCTTGAGGCAACTGTTGTTGTGAATTGGAGCTATATAAATAAAGTTGAACTGAAGTTTGAACTTAAATATTTACTTATATATTAAATTCATGTAAATGTTGCTGAACTGTACAATCAAAACTGCTCCCAACAATCATAGATGTTTACATCTGCGCTGTAACTGCAATAATTTAATCAACCGATTCGCACTACAACCTGGGTTTTCCTCTTATCTGTAGTTTATTTTATTTTATTTAATAACTGTACAGTACTCGTGTTTATAGTAACCATTGTCCTTGATGTAAATATGTAAAGAAAAAAAATTGTGTATGTTTCTGTTCTGTGTCCTGTGTACTGTTTGTTTGTATATGTGTCTTTCTGGCTGCTGTTACAACCAAATTTCCCCTTGTGGGACAATTAAAGGATTATTCTATTCTATTCTATTCTAAATTCATCAAGATATATGATGAATCTGATTTTTGATCAGTTATTTAATCCTCAAAATGCCAAAAATAGTTCCTAATTTTTTTTAACTCATATTTAGAAAGCAAGCAGAACATCTTCATGTTTGAGTAAATATTCATATTTAATCTTATGCAAACGTCATGTTTATGTGTTTTTACCTGACAATGACTCCTGGCCTGAGATCAAAGTTCTTGTTGACAATCTTGAGCAATTCTGACTCTGACTTCTGAGAGGACCCGTATGTGAACAAGGAGATGGAAAGAGGTTGGGCCACTCCGATCGCATAAGACACCTGGAACACACACAGAGATGTGGTTTGCATATTTGTACTGTACTCCAGTCATCTGTCATCTATGCACAGCTTTGGAGGGTTAAGCTGTAACTTCACCTGAACCAGAACTCTCCTGCACAGTTTGGCTTTAACCAGAGACTTGGCCACCCAGCGAGCAGCATAGGCAGCAGAGCGATCAACCTTTGAGAAATCTTTGCCAGAGAAAGCTCCGCCACCGTGAGCCCCCCAGCCACCGTATGTGTCTACAATAATCTTCCTTCCTGTTACACCAGCATCACCCTGTTTGCAAAAAAGGAAGAAGATGAGCAAAAACCAGTGATGACTTTCTAGTTTGCTTTATTATTTTTCCCCCAGTGTGTGATGATTACCTGTGGTCCTCCAATGACGAAGCGACCACTTGGCTGGAGATGGTAGACGGTTTTGCTGTCCAAATATTTTGCAGGGACCACGGATTTGATCACCTGACAGAAACAAGCCAGCATTAAAACCAAACATGTGACTTTATTTCCCACACGACACATTACACAGAGCCCAGTCAGGTGTGTTCATGAGGATCTACCATTTCCATTAGGACTCTCTGTTGTTCCTCCAGAGTGACGCCGTCATCGTGCTGGACAGAGATCACAATGGTGTGAACTCTCTTGGGGATCACAGCTCCATTCTTCTGGTCATAATGCACGGTCACCTGTGGGATTAACAAGAATTGGTACACTCACTGAAGCTGTAGTTAGCTGTTTTATGGTGCCTGTGACAACACAGCTTCAGACAGGTTATCAGATTTTCTAATGAAATATATCCAAGCTTGAAAGAAAAAGTTCCCAAACTGCTGTGGCGTTGTGTTTTGGGTAAGTAAAAAATGTGCACATGTTGCACGACCTCACCTGTGTTTTAGAGTCGGGACGCAGCCAGGGAACGATGCCATTGCGTCTAAGTTCAGACATCTTTTCATTGAGTTTGTGAGCTAAGACGATGGTGAGCGGCATGCACTCCTCCGTCTCGTCTGTGGCATAGCCGAACATCAGACCCTACAGAACGAGTCAGAAAATCAGTGAAGGCAAAACAAAGAAGTAAACAAGGAATATCAAAATACTGATATTCAGCATGCTCTTTTATCAGTAATATCTTCAGCACTTTCTATTATCATATGACACAAAATACATAAAATATAAGCTATGAAAAGAACAATAATGGCTAATGGTCATACAGGCATTTATAGAAGACAAAATAGAAGTAGATGTTGAAATGATAAAAACAAATATCAGGTAGATTATACCGTGTATGGTTATGGGACTTTATATATAATATAGTCAAATTACTCCATATTTCATTGGTTAGTCTTAAGCATGGGATAATTTTTTTCAGCCAGAAGTCTGTTATAGAAATTATGATCCTGAGCCGTGAGTTTGTCTCTTACTGAGGTATAATGCAGAGAAAGCATCAATTTAATCTAAACATGTTATTTCTTTATCTTTTGCCCAAACTATTAAGGATGATGATGGTGTTACTGATTAAACTACATTGATTCACTCAAGTACTGCACTCATATACAATTGTATAATTTAATAATTTCCTTTCTCTGCTGCATTATACTTCTACTCCACGACACACTGGACATATTTTTTATCATGCTTCAGATTACTTAAAGACTGTGAGCAATTTCATGAAAAGGAAGTTTCGCCTCTACACATCAAAGTTTTATCCTCAAATTTGTGACCCTTTAAAGAGCCACAAACACTTGGCTGGGGACCCTATTTACTATACTACAATACATTTATTTGCAAAAGTAACATAAACACTTATCGAATCTAATAATGATATATCAGTCACGAAGCACATTTTTCTGCCTTACAATCAGCTTGTAACATTTAGGATTTTAAATATTGGACTAGATAAAACTACTTTTTCCACCTCTACTGAACTGATAAACCTGAACACACCAACACTATTGCACCAGATCTCGTCTGTATTCTCTACTGTTGAAGTAAAGAGTCAAACAAACTGTGCTCGGTCAGGGTCACTCACTTGTCAAGCCAAAGTGACCCAGTGACACTGCTGTGGCCCTACCTGGTCTCCAGCTCCAATGTCTTCTTCTTTCCGGTCAACATGGACCCCCTGAGCAATGTCTGGACTCTGCTGCTCCAGGGCCACCAGCACATTACATGTCTTGTAGTCGAAACCTTCAAAAGGGAAGTGAATTGGATTGAGATGGTTAAGAGGGAAACGCTAAATACAGAGAACAGAAATAATGTCTATTTTTTTGCTTTCTCACCTTTCTCCGAGTTGTCGTAGCCGATGTGCTTGATGGTGTCCCTCACCACCCTCTGATAGTCCACGACGGCCCGAGATGTGATCTCTCCGCAGAGCAACACCATGCCAGTTTTACACACCGTCTCTGCCAATGCAAACTTTAATTACAAAGCTGTTTTGCCATCACCAGCAAGTTGTCCACACTGAAATACAATAAACAGTATCAACACTGCATACGACATAAAATCCAGGTGAAATTCAGACCAGTGGGTTAGTTGGCTTATACTCTGCCTTCATCATGTGGTCCCTTTTTTTGCTAAGACAAACTGATTCATTAGATTGTGCCTCTTCTTGGTTTTGCCATTTTTTTTTACGGAAAAAGAGACAAATTCTGGCTCACCACAGGCCACTTTGGCATCGGGATCCTGCTTCAGATGTGCATCCAGGACAGCATCACTGATCTGGTCACAAATCTTGTCTGTGGACACATAACAGGTAAAAACATCAGATTCCGAAGATTTTTTACAAATGCATTGAAAAAAACGACATATTGCATTTTAAATTGCACGCTTAGCCTAACACTAATAATAGAAGATGTCAATTTTGTAATTTATATGAAAGTATGAAAGGTTACATCCTAATATTTCACATAGCAGTAGTTTAATGTTTTACTTTAGCATGGCAGCAGGGCAATGCCTCACTATACATCCCATTCATCTGTCTGTGTCGTCCTGCTGAAGCAATGCAGGAGACCGGTTACATCAGAAAGCCCATCAGCATCTGACTACTCTGCTGGTGAAACAGGTGCATCTTAGGAAAAGCCACTAAAATAGCCACTATCTGTGGGAACAGCCCAGACTTTGAGTTGTGTTATCAAATTCAAAAGTGTGTACTGCAATGTTCTGCCAAGGCCACCCAACTCTGTTACTGAACAAACAGTAGAAGTAAAACTTCAAACCTGTGAAGTTTATCATTAAAATTGGCTTCAGGAGTGCTACGTGCTTCCAAAATGAAATTATTTTTTTTTTAAAGAACCTCCTTAAATGATAAATACAGGGACACCATGATGTGTGACACATGGATCTACATCACTTGCTGTTTCAGAGGACAGTTTGAAAGGGATTTTGAATTCAGGCGCATTGGTATTACCTTTTGTATGCTTCATCCTCTCATAAGCACTTTGTCAGATTAGCATACTTTTACTTCAGAACTACATTAATATAGATCCAGATTAAAAGAGCAGTTTTACTTTTTAATTATTTTATTTATTTAATTTTTTAACAGTCGGCATTTATGTGATACTGCCCCTGTCTGTGAAGCTGCACAACTCTTACTCATTATCGATTTAGCACATGGGACTTTGAAAGGTTACATATTTGTGAAAGGATTACAAAACACATTGACGGGGCACCGTGGGGTTTAAAGGCAACATGGAGGACAGAGTTCTTTACTTGTACTACTACAAGTTAAGCAAGGTTTGTGTGGAACATCTGGGAGTCATTTTACTGAGTATTTGATATAATTTAACTAGATTAAAGTATAACATAGTCAAACTAATTTTACCACATTGTCACTTCTTATCTTATTGTGTACTTGAGACATTGTTCTTGAAGAGCATTTTGCGTGTCTTTAGATCTCTTCTTTTGCACACTACATTAAACGTGTGTGTCTGCCCTCTTCTTGGACATTTTTTAAGCATGTAACTGTGCACCAGTCAGACACACATTTGCTTCCAGCTGCCTACAAGTGAGAGTGAAGGCCACTAAACACATGTTGCTGTGAATGGAATACCATCCATGCCTGGCGGGTAAACACGCAGCACTGTGGAGTTACTTTGGACATAGTGTCCAGCTTGCATCAAGTTTATTTATATGCATGCTATTTCTGCAAGATAACACTGCATTTTCAATGGAAGTGTTGAGCTTATAATTGAATGCATTAAAATTTAATGTCACTGTAGCAGAGGTGGCTAGACTTTGTAAAAAGACTCACCTGGATGTCCCTCTCCAACGGACTCTGAAGTGAACATGAAAGAACCTTCTTCCAGATGATCACTCATTTTTTCTGTGGGGTAAGGTTATTCAATTTCCAGTGCAGAGAGATCCTAAGGTGGCTTTATATTCCTACTGGCGTTCTTTACCAGAAAGATAAAAGAAAGGGAGGCCAACAGCCCTGCAGCCAAAGCGTAATCTGTCCTGCAAACTTCACATCTGTGTCCACATGGCCCGATATATATGGCTAAGGGGACACACACGCATTCTGTAACTCATTTACACACACACACACACACACACACACACACACACACACACACACACACACACACACACACACACACACACACACACACACACACGAATCCATGGGACAGTCCATTCCAGGGGGAGTGGATGATGGGAGGGAATTTCAGCTCAAACTGCTTGTTAACCCTTTGTAAACATTGTAATGTTCAATAGTGTGTTTTCAGTCTCCACCTGCTCTGACTGCTCTGCTTCAGGGTGGGACGTTTCCGTGTCCAAGCAGAAACATCTTTGAGAAGGAGTTCCCCTACCCCCCACAACACACAGGTGGGACAGCCAAGTTAGGGTAGCCTATGGACAGAGAGAGAAAGGTAGCTGCTGTTAGCAGGAAAATGATGCAATTACTTGTGTTTACATCATTCAAGTAAATCAGTTTACACTGCTGTGGTGAAAAGACACAAAAAATTACTAGAAAGGACTTATGAATAAGAGAAACTTTAAAAGTTACACAGTAAAACTAAATCAACAAATAAAATAGAAAAAAATCAATCTGTGGTTTCAAAAATATGGAAATAAATTAAAAACAGAACACTGTACTACATTTTAATGTTTCCTTTTACAGTGTAGTTCATTATTTGGTGTACTGACCAAAATGATTTTCTATTCATTCATTTGAATTTGATACGTTTTCCTGATTTTACATTTTATTAAACTGCAGCTGGAAATTGACCAACATTTCTTCGAATACACTTGAGCTGCTTATGAATTTTATACTTCTTTTTTATACTTCTTTATACTCTACTCGGTGCTATTAAACATTGTTACTGCTCAAATATTTTCAAGCTTACGATTCATTTCATCATGTAGACATTTGCCAGTAGTTTAATAACTACAAATACCAACCACAAAAATGTACCATATAAAGGCACATTTGATTTAAAGGGCACAAAACAGTCACCTTCATCATAAGTGTCCTATTTATAACATCTGATTTAATTATTAGTGCAATTCAAATAGAAATCAAATTAAAGGGAAAATTAAGGTTAAAAAATACTGCCTCAAAACTCCACTCCACTACATGAGCAAACATACCTGTTTTTTTATGACTGTATTCTCTAATTGAAATCTCCAAGTCCCAATAAAGTCACAACTTTAAAGAAAAAACACTCTAAAAGCAAAAGACATTTTAAAAAGAATAAATACGTGAAATTTGTACTTTGGTTCAGATCTATATAATTAGTTTATTTCATTGCCAATAATTAGGTTTAGAGAAGACAGTCACCTGTTGCCTGAATGCACTTTTCCATCCAAGTCCCAGCCTGGGGCTCTTGTCTTTGTATACAACTGCAGAAAATATCAAACCCTGTCCGGAGAGAAGATCAAATAAATGAAGATCTGTCTCTTAGATACCTAATGACCTTCTCGTGATTCACCGTGTCTGTGTTTTTGCAAAATATTAGGAGCTATAAAGGGATGCTTAGGAAAAGATCCTCACTATCATATAAATACAAACACAATACATGCTTGAAGAAACATTAACATACAGAAAAATGGCTCTGACTCAGTTTCTTGTCCCATTAAATGCAACAAGAGTGCAGTGGGCCAATCCTTTTTCTCTACGTCTTTCCATCATCTGGCTCTAATTTCACTCAGTGTTGAGTTGGCCTTGAGAAATGAGATGAGAATTTTAACTAGCTTCCTGTAGTGAATAAAATACCACTCTTCCTGACAGCTTTGGGACTTTTAAAGCAGATTTGATGTATGTATTATGCATTGTGGAACTTATTGCTGAAAACAAGAGCTTTGCAATAATAATCGACTTGATGAAATTAGTGAAAACAACTGATAATCAGGAATGCACACAAGAGAGGAATTTGGAATTTTTAGGAAATACAGGAGGGTAGGCGAAAATGAGAAACAGCTGTGTTGACTTACAAATAAATACCACTCACATAAGTAGCATGCTCACCGAACCTGAAATCTGCACAGCTATCTAGCTAAGATATCTGAACTATCTATTATATAGTTTATAGTTAAAATATTTAAAGGTAATATAAATTAGCATAGTGTAGCTAGAAAATTTTACAAAGGGGGCAAAGGAGGGACAAGAGGTCTTGGCAGGGTGGCACATATGTCTTCAGCGAAGTATGTGAAAATCCCCTATATGTAAATAGAGTCAACAAAATATCTACGAAACATTTATTGTATCGTTATCATAGAGAAAAATATAAATAGTAGATTAACATAATGGACAAAGAGTTAATAGCTTAAGATTGTTAGCTAAGATATTAAAAGCGATAAAAGTACTGTTTTTAACTGATGTACTGTTAAATATTAAGCCAAAGGTAAAAGCAAAAACAAGAAATATAAAAAACAAACAGTCAAACAACCTCCCACTCCCACCCCTGGCTAATTAGAGATATTTAGCTAAAAGTAATGTTGTAATATAAATGTAAAGGAAAAAAAAATTAGTAGTGATAACAATAATTAGATGAAACCATTATCAGGCAATCTGAAATTATTAAAATACTTGATAGCCAAAGAAAACAGCTAACAGTTAACAACGATATCGTAACTGTTAAGAAACAGCTAAAAATTTAGACATTTAGCTAAAATCATAGATAGTAAAAAAACAAAACAAAAACAAAACCCTTTGTTTATGGCTAAATCATTTGTTTTTCAACTCTAATTCATCATATAAGCTGAAAACCTTAAACAGTTGACAAATGCATCAATAGCTGATCTTAAATAGTTAATTTGAAATAGTAGGCACGTGTTAATTATATATACTTAGCTGAAAGCAACAGTTAAAATGTCACTAGCAATGCACAGTTAGCTAATATTTAGCTAAAAAATCGCCTAATATTCAAACATAAATTAGCTTAGTGCTAACTGAAACATTTTTCAATTGTAGAAATTAGCCAGAAATAATTTATCTACCTGTGTTGTTTTAGTAATAATTACATGAAAAACAATGAAACCTAATTTGACATTACAAATAAAAATTGGATAACCTAAATTCCTAGTTGAAAGAGTGAACTGTATACATGAAATGCAAAATAACAGCAATCAAACTATTTTTATGGATTGATCTAAAATACCTAATTTCCTTTGTACATTGCTATCTCAGATTTTAAAGCATGACTTAGCAAATATGTTGGGCAATAAGAATATAGTAGGAGATTGTTAGTAGACACGCCTTATTTACTCATGTCTCCTGCTGTAAAAAATAAAACCAGTCAGAACCTGGTTAGATTTAGAGTGTACTGAGTGTCCTACCACAGGGACACTGCGCTACCTTCAAAATCTAATAATAAGCTATCTAATAGGAGACAGAGGTCAGAGGGGATTTAACATAACAAAACGTGAACTACATCAAACCAGAGAAGATGTGAAAGTCCTGTTTGATGCCAAAGAAAGTGGAGAACCACTCTGGTGTCATAACTGATTGACCTCTGGATAATACACCCCTGTATGTTTTGGTCTAAAAATGCTCAACACAAGCGCATGTTGCTGTGTGTACATGTGAACTCACAAAAAGAGAGTATTTGTTAATGATTGACTGAGAAAAATGGGTCAAAAGAAGGACTTGACAGGCTCAGAAAAGTCAAAAATAGTGAGATATCTTGCAGAGGGATGCAGCAGTCTCAACATTGCAAAGCTTCTGAAGCGTGATCATCGAACAATCAAGCGTTTCATTCAAAATAGTCAACAGGGTCGCAAGAAGCGTGTGGAAAAACCAAGGCGCAAAATAACTGCCCATGAACTGAGAAAAGTCAAGCGTGCAGCTGCCAAGATGCCACTTGCCACCAGTTTGGCCATATTTCAGAGCTGCAACATCACTGGAGTGCCCAAAAGCACAAGGTGTGCAATACTCAGAGACATGGTCAAGGTAAGAAAGGCTGAAAGACGACCACCACTGAACAAGACACACAAGCTGAAACGTCAAGACTGGGCCAAGAAATATCTCAAGACTGATTTTTCTAAGGTTTTATGGACTGATGAAATGAGAGTGAGTCTTGATGGGCCAGATGGATGGGCCCGTGGCTGGATTGGTAAAGGGCAGAGAGCTCCAGTCCGACTCAGACGCCAGCAAGGTGGAGGTGGAGTACTGGTTTGGGCTGGTATCATCAAAGATGAGCTTGTGGGGCCTTTTCGGGTTGAGGATGGAGTCAAGCTCAACTCCCAGTCCTACTGCCAGTTTCTGGAAGACACCTTCTTCAAGCAGTGGTACAGGAAGAAGTCTGCATCCTTCAAGAAAAACATGATTTTCATGCAGGACAATGCTCCATCACACGCGTCCAAGTACTCCACAGCGTGGCTGGCAAGAAAGGGTATAAAAGAAGAAAAACTAATGACATGGCCTCCTTGTTCACCTGATCTGAACCCCATTGAGAACCTGTGGTCCATCATCAAATGTGAGATTTACAAGGAGGGAAAACAGTACACCTCTCTGAACAGTGTCTGGGAGGCTGTGGTTGCTGCTGCACGCAATGTTGATGGTGAACAGATCAAAACACTGACAGAATCCATGGATGGCAGGCTTTTGAGTGTCCTTGCAAAGAAAGGTGGCTATATTGGTCGCTGATTTGTTTTTGTTTTGTTTTTGAATGTCAGAAATGTATATTTGTGAATGTGGAGATGTTATATTGGTTTCACTGGTAAAAATAAATAATTGAAATGGGTATATATTTGTTTTTGTTAAGTTGCCCAATAATTATGCACAGTAATAGTCACCTGCACACACAGATATCCCCCTAAAATAGCTAAAACTAAAAACAAACTAAAAACTACTTCCAAAAACATTCAGCTTTGATATTAATGAGTTTTTTGGGTTCATTGAGAACATGGTTGTTGTTCAATAATAAAATTATTCCTCAAAAATACAACTTGCCTAATACTTCTACAATCCCTGTAGTGGGGACCACTCTGAGTTCTTAAACTGATTATCAT